GAATAATCCTTTGCACTGGAAATCGAAAACGCTCTGGATCAAATGTATCTTGTGGACGAACATATCTCCAAAAAGACTCGAGGGTTCTTGTTTGAGATAATATGTAAATGTAATGTAAACATATACACTACAGTTATGTGAGTACATTTGTTTGGGATATGCGTTTTTTTTTTGTATGTCTCAAAATTTCCCATTGTGATGGAATCTGATCATCGATCTGGTGTAGCCTGGGTTTGAAATATGAATGTCATAGTGGTGCATGTCCAATTACACCAAAATCCAGTGATTTCCTCTGGAATTGAATGGAAGTAGCATAAAATTTATATTTTCCTGTGAAATAGTGTTTGGTTTGAAACTCTGCATAAGAATATCACGTTAAAATGAAATTAGTCTCGAAATTGAATCTATATAATAAATATCACTACTAAAACTGGGCCATGCAGATGCTCTATAATCCAGACAGTAATCAGTCAACCACTTGGGAGTTTCTTCGATAGGTCCCGATGTTATATCATGTAACATGAAAATTTACCATTCTCCTCAAATTTCCAGTTCCTTGGTGGAGTTCATTGATTGTCAAGTGTTTTGAGGATGTTTCTCAATGTCAACCACTGAATAAGCACTCACACTGTATGTAATGTTTTTATTCAAGTTTGAAGTACATGATACTAAAGTATTTGATGTATTCTGCCTTGAATGGTCCACAGTGTAGAGTGGTCCTTTATCTGAAATTATCAAAACATATAAGTATACAACAATAATAAGTATACAACAATAATAAGTATACAACAATAATAGGAAGGTTGTAAGTTACTCACCAATACTCTTAGCTGTTTCTTTGAAATATGTCTTGATGTCTAGATGTCTTTTTGATTCGCTCCCACCTAGAAATAAATGAGTATGATGGTAAATATAAAACAAATTTCAAATGGTAGTTATTTTGATTTGAAAAGCACTCTCACAACTGAAAGACAATTCCGCTTTCCCTGAATTATGGTCTTATGTATTTCAAGAATATTGTTAAGTATTATTAATTGATATTGATGATGTTATGTTGATATTATTTCTTTGTGGTATTTTGATATTTGAGAGTAATGACTGGGTTATGTCATGTGCATACGAGCAATGACATACGAGTCGTGGTATCAAGTAGTGCAAAAAGTCTGCGGGCTGCGAACTCACCGGTGTAGGTTGTTCCATTGGTTCTGTTGGAGTACGATGACGTAGTATCGTGAACTGAGGCTATGCACTGGCTATGTTCCGATTCGTTCCGTGGTCATATGATTGGTGTTCTGTGGGGTTTCGGGCCTCGGAATCGATCGGGTAGTCTCGTGTATGCTGCCGCGGTGCCGCCGGAGCTGACCAGTCACAGATGAGGATGATCATCACGTGAGCAACGCTTCCTGTTATTTTCGATACTTCAAGTTGCGCAGATGATTCCATAGTTTTTTTATTAATAAAATTTTGTTGAAAAAATTCTAGAAGGCGCAGGAGTTAGCCCTTCCTAAATTGGTGGTGTCGTTCCTTCACTTCCTTTGACACCATCATGGTTCGCACTCTGATTCAGTAGACTTTAGAGGTAGTGAGGCCTGTCCTAATTTTAGGGGTAAGTGTTGAACCTGATAGGGATAAAATCCCACTTTGTATTCTTATTCGGGTGGCTATAAGTATGGTATATTGCCGCAGATTTTGGGCCTTACCGGATTCCCTACCAGATACCTCGTAGGGCATTTTGTCGGACACCTCGACTGTTACCTCGCCGGCCGCCTCGACTACTGTTTTTGCTTACGTCTCCTCTGGGCTTTGCAATTTTGATCACGCCGACCTCTGCAGTCTTCCTCGATTTGACCGGGAATCACATGGGCTGCACCTGCTAATACATTGCTATCAACCTGCTGGTAGTACCCCTAGGCCTACTCCTGAGTCTACGCTGCTGTCTCCACTGCAGTCTCTGCAGTCTTCACTGCAGTCCCCGCAGTCTCTGCACAGTCATGAGTAGAGTTGAAGATGAGAGTGAGAGCTATAGGACATACAGTTATGTAATCCCGTGTGCAGATAAATGATTAAGTATGGGGAGTTATATCAATGCGTTAAGGGGGACGCGTACATCACAAGAAGCGATGGTGGCCATCTGAGAGTCGCGTCAGGAGTTTCAAAAGTAGGGGGAAGTGGGGTTCGGTGAGCTGGAACCTATATCAGCTGATAACTCTGTAACCATCATATTTACGTGAAAATGTCAGGAGACAAAATTTAAAGAGGACATGTTTTTCTATAATATTTGTTCCATACTTATATCTGCTACTCGTTAGGTTCGCGATATAAACACGATTTAATGATTTTTTTGATGTTCGAAATTCATTTGACCGTGGAAATTTAAAAAATCATCCATTATCATCTAACAAATTTTTTTTTTATTCAGAGGACTAGTATCGGAACATCAATATAACCAGCATGCAGGCTCTTGCAAAAGTTCACACATCCGCTGGTAAAGCAACAAAGAAGGTTGATTCAAGCACTTGCATAATTTGCCAATCATCAACAAGGGAAAAGTTCGTCTTCAATCGTTCTGAAGTGTCTTACCAAGTATTTTCTGAGACAATTACCACCTTATCTTCATGGAATGATCCTGATTGCAAGACTATCGTGCAATTGCTGCGTCGCTAATTAAGTTGAAGGAATCAAATGCTGAGAACATAAGAAGAAACGGAACACTGTTGCCAAAAAATTCCAAAATCAAGCTGTTCAAGACCAGCAGGAGAGTACTACTGATGCTGATCATCCGAGTACAAGCTACACAGTGCCATTTACGCGGGGCCAAACTGTAGAATATGACAAGCATTCATGTTTTTTTTTGTGATGGGAGAGAAACAAAAAAATATCCTCTACATCATGTTTCTTATGATACTGGCGGAAAGAACCTGAAAAAAGCCGTTGAGATGAGTGGAAACAACGGGTGGAAAGTTAGGCTCAGTGAATGCATAAGTGAAACTGATGCACATGCTATCAAGGGCGGTCATATATCTTGATTCTGGGGGGGGGCCATTTTGTACAATTACATATCAGTCATTAATTCCAATTCAATCAGAAAACACAGAATGGAATATTATTTTTATATTACATATTTAAAATAAAAATCATTCGAATGAAATAATTAACAGAAACTGATATTTTACATGACGAACTCCATGTTTCGTCTCACCCCACTATTAGCGAAACGTTCTATAACATTAGATTCGTTGATGACAATGTCCTTATGGACATGCATTAGTGCAAGGCCACTCAAACGATCTTCACCCATATTGGCCCTCAGCCAACTCTTAAGTCTTCTCAGTCCTGAAAAACTCCTCTCTGCAGATGCAACACTCACTGGAAGAGTACACAGTATTTTCAAAATGTCATGAATGATTGGATACATAATTTTATCACATTGATTGAGAGCATTCAGTCCATCGCTGGGAATTTCCAATTCTTTGCTGTGTATCCATCTCATTTTCCATAAATGCAGCTCTGCAATGAAAGTTGACTTCAGCACGTCTCTACATGTTGCAAACAAACTTCCATATTTTTCAATCAAAATTTCTACGGCGGAATGGATGCCATCTTCATTTGAATTAATTAATATAACAGGAACACATATTTGCAGATTGAATAAATCCATAGTTTCTTGCTGGAAACGACACTCAATGTCGGAAATAATACTTTCAAGTAAAGGAATATATATCGTTATTCTGAAGTATTCTGTGGAGGAATGAATATCTGGATTAATTTAATTTACAAAGTAATCATTTAAAATATATCGATTTAGGCCATTTAAGGTGTCACCATAGTATCTAGTATCCTGTGTTACTGAACACTAGACCAGGCCGGTCGAACAGAATGTATCCTAAGTGCATTGCCACCTTTGGGGGGGGGCCATGGCCCCCATGGCCCCCCCCTTATGACCGCCCTTGCATGCTATTGATGTTCTTCATCACCGTGAATGCTGGGCAAAGAATGTTGTGAATGTTTTGAGAAAAGCAAGTTCCAGTAATTCAACAGACCTATGCTGTATGGCATTATCGGCTTCTGATGTAGAATTTATCAGCTTGCTGACTGATTTTTTAGAGTCTGGCAATGTTGCCTGCATGGCCGATCTCTATACCACCTATTTGAATAGGTTTGAATGGCTTGGATGTAATTGATAAAAATGTGAAGTCTCGACGACAACTTAAATCTTCCATCGAGTGTGAAATACCATGTGTAGTATTTTCATGTCCCAAACGTAAAAATGCTTCTGAACGGGTATCACTAAAGAGAACAGCAGATGCTGCTCTGATTCAACTAGAAGAAGGGTGTCAAGCACACCAGTTGAAGGTTATATATGAAGCTGCCAAACTACTTAGAAAAATCATATTAAAAAAAGATAAATGGAATTTTGAGGGAAATCTCTGTAGTGCTGATGTGGTTCCGGAAGAAGTGTCTCTGTTTTTCAAATGGTGCTTGGTTGGCAAAAACAGTATTTCATTCCAGTCGAAACGTGGTAGTGAGATTGATGAAAGGACAAATCGCCTATCGCAAACTCTCTTGTATGAGTGTCTTTCAAGTTGTCAGGTATCAAATTCTGCAGCAGAAAGTCTCCGGCATTCACGTGAAATGCCTATGCAAGTAGCAGTTGGTCTTTCAGTTCATCAATCTACACGCAGTGCACAACTAGTAGAATATCTCTACAACATTGGAGTATCTGTACCATATGCTCGTATTTTGAACATCGAAACTCGTATTGCGAGATCGGTCCTTGCAGGGATGAAAGAATCCCAAGGTATATACGTTCCATCAGATTTTGTTAATAATAGGTTTACCCACTTTGCAATAGACAACATCGACTTCCAAGAAGATACCACTGATGGCAAAAACACTTTGCATGGAACAATGCTTGTTGCATACCAAACTCATGAAAGGAAGATGAATCAGCTGCCTTTACTCTTGTTCCGGAAGAGCAACAAACTACTATTCCAGATACCATGTATGAGATAGCAACTTGCAACTTTCCAAAAAACCTAAAACAAAGAAGTCGTACGTTAACTACGATCAAAGGATATAACAAGACAGATGAAAATAATGAACTTTTAAATTCATCAACCCTAGAAGATCTCATGTGGATATTAGCTTCTACAGTTGAAGAAGTCTTTGCTGATGAATCTACTATGCCTGCTCGATTGGAACCCGGTTCAACGTGGGCCGCTTATAATTCCCTAATTATTGAGGTAAAACCGAAAAATTCTGTTCAGGTAACGGCTATGCAAAACCTTGAAAGAATAAACAAATATCTTCAAGGTAACGACAAAAAACTCATTGTTACTCTCGACCTTGGTTTGTACAGACCGGTTCTGCAATTGCAGATGGCGTTATCGCAGCGCAATTGGTTTTTAGTTCCAGGAGATTTACATATCCAGATGGCCCAATTGGGAGCTATTGGAAACTACATTGAACTCACTGGTATTCCTGAGGCATGGGTCGAGAGTGGCTTGTACAGTGAAACAACTGTAAAGCACATACTGGACGGAAAACCTGGTCGGCGATCATTGAAAGCCCATATAGTAACAGTAACTTCCCTTTCTATATTATTACTTGAAAGTTTCTTTGAAAAAAATCACTATTTGAAAGAAGGATGTAGTGCTATAGCTATTGAAATGAGGAATATCTGGAAAACGAAGGACCGTTGTGATATTACTACACAATCACATTCAATGAGAGAAAGACTGAAGGATTTGGATTTTCCTCTCAAATTGGAAAATTTCTTTAAAGAGAAGAGTGAACTGAGCCCAACGTTCAAGATGGTGAAAAACTACATGCATATGGTTTTTTCTATGCTAGCTTTCGCTCGTTCAACAAGGAATGCAAACTGGAATCTGCGTATCGCAGCTCTAGATGACTTCACCAAGTACTTCTTTGCACTAGATTTACGTAACTATGCTTTTTTGTGTGCATGGTATATTTCTGAGGTCAGATCTTTAGAGATACTAGACCATGAAACCTTGACCCAACTGAAAAGTGGCAATTGGTACCCCAATAAAAGTAATAATCCATTCTGTTGTTTAGGGGTAGATGAAGCTCTGGAACAAGAGAATAGAAGATTGAAAGTGTTAGGCGGAATTGTTGGAATCACAAGGCGCCAGCAAACTCTCACGAAGTACTTTCTAGCATCACCAGAAATAGCAAAACTGACCCGACAAGCAGATGTTGTATCTAGCTCTTCGAATAAGGCCATGCATCATGAAGTGAACAATGCAATATCAACAAGGCAAAATCGCAACGTGATTGCTCTTCTACAATGCTTAAGCTCATACACAAATCCTTTTCAGTAGAGCGGAGAGCTCGTGATTTTGCTGACAATGTTTGTTGCACCTGAAAATGTTGAAAATGACGTGTTCGGTATGCCTGATATTGGAATGAAATTATATACAGATTTTGTTGATAAATGGATTGTTGAAGGAGAAGGCAATCTATGGGACACAACTAATCTGCAGCTTTGCAGAACTACAGCTAAAATGGTAAAAATTCAAACCAAAGGGGGCACTATCGAACTGAAAGAAGATAGGGCTCTATTCCATCGTCTTATTGTACTTTGCCGATCAAGACCTGATATGGATCTCAGAGAATGTATCAGCAAATATGAACCCACTGTAGTTCCACGAGCACTTTTTTCAGGAGACGGAACAATGCATCATGTAAGTGAAAAAAGTAAGCTGATCCACCATATTGAAGAATTGATTGCCATTCAGTTTCCAACCGAAAATGATGATAATAGAAGTGAAATGCCAACGATTGATGTGCATCATATAGTTGAACGAACTTCGGAATCTGTTGCAATAATTGATGGTATGGCTGAGCTACAGTCCATGAAGCTGAAACAAGTATCTCAAATTATGTATGTTTTTGTTCTCGAAACAAATAAACAGTTACTTATCGAGTATCGATCATTTATCATAAACTTATATTATGTCCACTGTATTTATACCTTTATCTATGAATAAATGATATTATTATTATTATTATTATTATTATCATCTACATGTTCTGATTTAGCCGATCAATTTTGTGATAAAATTTTCACAAAGTATAGACATCTTTCAGAAATTCATATTGTTTTCGATACATACATCGATAATTCACTGAAAGCAGCTGAACGGTTACGTCGTCGGAAAGGTATTCCACCTATCCAATACAAAATTGAGGCAAATACAAATATCAAAGCATTAACGTTACAAAAACTACTCTCACATATATAGACCAAAGATTCAGTTGTTGCACACAGAGAAACTGCAGAAGCATCTGAATTATCTGTAGCACATCTAAAAAGTTCCCACGAGGAAGCAGATGCTAAGCTAATTTTTCACGCTATTGATGCCACAAAGAGAGGTGCATCTAGCCTCTGTATTTCCTCGCCAGATACAGACGTTCTCATTTTGGCTGTACAGAATTACCCACATTTTTCGAAAGACAGCCATATGGTCATTTCAGGAGCAAAGAGACGTGAGATATCTCTCGGAAAGGCGTATAGTGCCCTTGGGACAGATCGAGACGCAGCTTTGTTGGGAATGCATGCTATTTCTGGCGCAGATGTTACTGGGGCTTTCAATGGCAAAGGAAAAACTTCTTTCTGGAGGAGATTCATAGATGCAGTTGAGGATGTGTTGAAAGCGTTGGCATCACTAGGTGATTCAATCATCAAAGATGAAACGTACGAGATCATTGAAAAATATGTGTGCACCGTGTACCTACGTCCAACAGAACATAATCGAATTTATACTCTGAAAGAGTTGAGATTGTGGTTTTTCACGCAAAAGCAGGCTGTTGCAGGACATATGCCACCAACGAGTGCAGCTTTGCGACCTGCAGTACGTAGGGCAAACTACCAGTCTATGGAGTGGAGTCGATGTGACGTACCACATCCTTCTCTTCCACCAGCTCAAGACTTTGGATGGAAGATTGAAGATAGAAAGTTGGTACCTCAACTTTGTGACCTTCCGTGTGGACCAGAAGAACTGATTTTGCTCACGAAGTGCTCGTGCAGTCGCGGAAGGTGTGCACAAAAATGCAAATGTGTTTTGAGTCAACTTCCATGTACCGAGATGTGTGCTTGTCTTGGCGAAGAACAAACTTGTAATAACATTCACAATGTAATAGAAACTATCAGTGACGACGAATAAGAAGACTCTAGTTGCTGAAAAATAGATAGATCTACTCATTGGTTACCTAATATCAATAAATATCATAATCGAATAAAAATTTTTATTATTTTTATTGTGTCATAAATGACAACACTAATTTTCTCATGAACCATACCTCGTAGAACAAGATGTTGGGGACAAATATTGTAGAGAAACTGATGATCTTCAATTTCGATCACCTGACTTTTTTTTGTAATTTTGATATTTAACGAGTTATAAACCAATTTAGGTTTCAGCCTACCAAACCCCCCCTTCCCCACTTCCTTTTAAATGCCAGACGCGACATCCAGATGGCCACCAAGGTATTTCGTGTTCTACAGGTATCCCTTCACACACTCATACCACTCTCTATACCTAATCATCAACCTGCACACGGGATGCCTTTCTTCAACATAGCAAGATGGACTACTAAAGTGGCCCTGTCCTTTTTTTTGCGTTTTTATGAAATTACCATTTACCAGCATCTGATGATGATTATCAGCTTAAGTCATACTTAAATATACCATTTAATTACGAGTTCACATTTTACATTTCTTCACATTTATTATACATATTTTGACACAAAATTTTTGCCCTGTTATAGATCTATGGAAGGGAATTCACATATAATTCATATCAGTGACTGTGAATCTGATTTTGATAATTTTTTCATCCTGAAAAACTTAAGTGTAGTGATTACTCCATGTAAATGTTAATCTGGCTTTTACTATTAACATATAATCAAATCATCATTGAGTTCACACAGTGTTTCAATTATTTTCTCTTTCAGGAAGTAGTTGAGGTTGATAATATCTATTATATTTTCTTGGTTTTTTATTCTGATACAAACTAAGTGGCGCCCCCTTTCCCGGTATTTCAACAAAGTCTCGAACTCATGATCATAGCCCACCAGACGAAAAGCTACTGTGCCTTGATAACTCTATTTTTGCGCAATATTTGATTTTTTTACCATCTCAGAAAAAATTGTCTAAAGTAGGTTAAGGTATGGTTTCCTTCACGCCGTCAGCGGCTGCCGTTGGAAGCATGCCGCTGAAGGTTGCCGCTGACGGTTTGATTGGCTGGTTTCCCCTACACCGTCAACAGTATATATTTTATCTAGTTTTTAATGTCAACGTCCATGGATGGTTGTATTGTGTCGCCGGGGAGCAAAATGAGGAATGATCAGAAAAGAAAGGCTATGTGTCTCGTTTTGCTACAAGAAGAGGAGGAAGATGATGAAGTGCTTGTGAATGAATTAACTGGAAAAAGAAAACCTCACCATGACTTGTTTGAAAACCGCGAAACAGAAGGATTTTTCAACATATTAATCAATAGGAGACTGACAAGTGATGAAGTTAAATTTCGACAATTTTTTCGGTTAAATCGCGAACAGTTTTCTTTCGTAACTGGTCTGATTGGAGAAGATCTCAGAAAGGAGGCGACTTATGTTGTTAAAAATCCTATCACACCAGAAGAGAAACTTGCAGTTACTCTGAGGTAAGTATTAAATAACTAATTATTTATTCAAGTTTTATATTGCTGTGAATGAAAAATGTCTGAAACTCCAAAAAAAAATATACCTAATTCGATTTTTTTATAGTAAAAACTGCAAATTCACCATTAACACAAAATACAAATGGGACTTTTCAAAAACAAAAACTGTATCATTCTTTTTTTGTAGTAAATATAAGCAGTGATGAACTGAACATGTGAAAATAAAAAACTAGTAGAGGCACCGCAAAACTCTATCAGAAAATTCTGTGGAATCGTCATCAGGCTGAAGTGATGGTTGTGGCGGTGTACTCTGTGGTTGTTGTACTGCATAATTAGGCGGTAGTATTGTAATGTGTTGTGGATATTGTACATTACTAGAAGGAACCGTCACAGAGGCATGATTCTGCTGAACAGGAGCTTCTGGAGGAAATTGTATTTCTGTAATGAGTGATAAAATTCGCATTTTTACGTCTGCAATTTGTCTTGGTGATAGCTTTTTCACTGTGGCCGCAACACTTTTCATAAACATATCTACGTCATCTTCATCGTTTGAACATATCTCTTGGAGAATTTTTGTTCTTTCCGCAGCCCGTTTTTCTAATGTTGCTAGCACAATGTTTCGTGTTCGCCTTTTTTTAGAAGTGCTTGGCGCAGAAGATTCGCCTGCCTCATCGTTTTCATTTCTTTCAGACATAGAAGCAGTCTTGTTGCATGAAGAATGAACACTGGTAGTTTCTCTTCCTGATTCATGGCCATAACTCTGAGGATCATCTTCTTCCTGATCCGAATTTTGTGATTCCTGTATTTCTTGTGAGTCAAGTGGAGAGTTTTGCTCTTCTGCAATTGTATTGTACGACCTACATAGAATAAACGACAATTGACTACCCACCTCCCTCAAGACGCTTTAAGTACTCACCTTCTTTCGTATTTGACTGTTTCTAAAAATTTCAAATGCTCATAAAGATGCCACTTTACTGATTTTGTATCTCTCGCCGATCCGGTCCCCTGCTTTTGGCTCTTTTTTATTTTAAGAAAATTGTCCTTGATTGCTCGCCATCTCCTTTTGCATTCTTCCTCTGAAAATATGTATCTTATAACTAATTTAATGAACCGTATTTGTTACAGGAGAGTCATTTCGATCGCTTGCATTCGCATTCCGCATATCACACAGCTACATCAGTGTAATAGTTAAGAGTACTTTGAATGCGATTTTTAGACACCTTCTTCCTATATTCTTGCCAACACCCAATTATGCAAGTTTGAAACACGAATCTGAAGAATTCTCACAGAAATGGAATTTTCCACATTGTGTTGCAGCAATTGATGGGAAACATGTGAGGATTGTGTGCCCAGAAAAAAGCGGATCATTATTCTTTAATTATAAGAACTATTTTTCAATAGTTTTACTTGCTATGGTTGACGCAAACTACAGATTCTTAGCTGTTGATGTAGGCTCGTATGGCAAGGAAGGAGACAGTGGTATCTTTGCAAAATCCAACTTGGGAAAACAAGTTTACTCCGGAGATTTGTTCCCACCGGATGAAGATCTGGCAGGTTTGAATGAAACGATGTCCTACGTGGTTGTTGGGGATGAAGCATTTCGTCTTCATAAACATTTGATGAAGCCTTATACAAAAGAAACTGCACATACAGATAAAGCAAAGGCGATATTTAATTATAGGCTTTGCAGGGCCAGAAGAGTAACAGAAAATGCATTTGGAATTCTTTCCCAAACGTTTAGAGTATTTTTTACTCCAATTATTGCAATAAATCCGGAAACATGTGATAAACTGATTCTTGCTGCTTGTTGTTTCCACAATTTATTAAGAAATTCTTATTTAGAAGAAAATGGGAAACCGTATTACACGTACGATCCAAATGAAGATTCACCAGGTGGTTTGGCAACTTTCACAAGAATCGGCGGATTCGCAAATCAAGAAGGATTTGAAATCAGGGACAAGTTCACAACTTGCTTCAATCAAATTGGAGTATTAGATTGGCAGAATAGATATGTAACTCGTTTGTCAACCACATAAATTGTATGTAAATAAGTAAATGAACATTTGTTGTGTAAATGAAAATAACTAATTAATAATTGTACTAACCTGATCTTCCAACAATCTCTGAAATCGCCTTCCACACATTTGATTTTATTTGCAAATTTTTATAATCCTTGTTCTCACTATTATATATGCAAGGATGTGAAGCCATTGCATGAACTAAATTTTCATCTTCGCGTGCCGAAAATTTCAGTCCGGTAGACATTTTATTGGTCGAAAATAATACAAGTTGAAACACGCTGCGGCGACTTTGCGATGCGTTTTGACTCCTCGACCAGCAGTGCAACCGCAGACGCACGCTGTCGGCGGTCGCTTCTAGCGAACGCGCTGCGTCGGGGAAACCGCTTGTACGTATTTTCAATTCAAGTAGTGGATGCGTTTGGCGGCATGCTTCCAACGGCAGCCGCTGACGGCGTGAAGGAAACCATACCTTTACAAGAATTTGGCGCCCAACGTGGGAAAAGAGTGACCGTTGAGTTAGTTGAATATTCTTCCTATTTTTTTGAAACACTTTGTGAACTCAATATTTCGTCCTTGAATTCTTCAAGCTGGTATATTGGTACTTGATAACTTCACATTTCGGGTGATTATTTGATGATAAATAAGTTCTTACTAAAAAATTTCATCTTTCCATATACATGGTGAACTAAAATTTTTGTTTGCAATGTTTTGGGTTGAAACTGGAATAGTTTCATTATTTTGAATTCATTCCTAGGATATTCTTTGGTGGTCCACCTATTTGGTTGAATTTGATGTCAATATATGAATTCAGATTAAATTCTTTAAATTTTTTCTGGGGGTGGCAGCTGTTCAAGATAAGTAACAGTTAGTTAATATACAGGGTTATGATAAAGTAATGCACAAAATTCATAAAACGTTCAACGATCACTTTTGAAAAAAATGCAAAAACACGTCAAACTGTTCTTTTTTTTCCGCATATTTTGACATTAGTTACAAAGTTGTCAAAGTTATGACGTCATCAGCAAATTTTTTTAATGGGAAGCTGAGATTTTCATTACATTATGTGATAGAGCTTGTGTTTTCACACAAGGGAAAAATAGTTGCAGTAGGGCTCACATAAGAAACATAAAACACTCAACGGAGGATGTCCCATTTCAGTCTCACTGGGAACTAAATGCAACTTTCTCTTTTAGAGAAGTGAGCATCATTCAGGTTAGAGATATAATTAGATCTCTAAAAAATAAAAATTCTAGAGATGTATTTGGTTTGAATGTTGGAATTGTTAAAGTTGTGCGTGAGCAAATTGTTATCCCCTTGACAAAAATAATTAACATATGTCTAAAAGGAAATTGTTTTCCAGATTGCCTCAAAGAAGCCATTATCATTCCGATATTCAAAAAGGGTGATAGGGAGGAAGTTTCAAATTACAGGCCAATCTCCCTATATTTTCAAAAATAATAGAAACATGTATGGCTCTGCAGACGA